TTACATTCACACAGCAGACATTCATAATCTGCATTTGAGCACCTTTCATGACCGTGATGACTAAAATATACAAGCCATTATTAAATTCCATTGAATATTGCAAACATACGAGTGTATTTTTCTTGGAAAATTCATTACGAGCAAGTGAAAAAAAAAATAATTTTTTTAGTTGAATATTCTCACTCACTGACGCTTACGTATTAAACTTGTATGCTATGCTACGTACTTATGGGATATTTGAGAAAGTGCAAAATTTAATTTAATTACATTTGTTTTAACATTTTGCTTCACTTCTCTATGGCTTCCTTTAAATATACCTCTTTAAAATGCAATTCTTCTTCTTCTTACTTGATTCTATGTACAACAAATTTTTCAGGTTTTTTACTTCCTTCATTATTTATGCTGCATTTATTTATGTTCATGAATGTAGAGTTTTTAAATAATGAAAAATAATGTTGAATTGTGGATTATGAAGTCATTTTAATGGATTTTTAAGGAAGATTAAATGACTTAGACGAAGGACAAGCTGATCAGCGACACCATAAGTGTGTAGGCCTATTTTTATTTAAAAAGGTTGTGCTTTCATAAGCGTATCTTATTCTAAGGTACAAATAGTCATCAATTTGACCACAAAATAGCAATAAGTGTAATAGTTATTTATCTGTCACTTTCCTATCACATAACTGTAATTTAGTTTCTCTATTACTCAGTGTCATAAGACCACTTCATTTAATTCTTTTATCATTTCTTCTTCTATCGCCCGTAGGATGGTGTCGTAAGACTTGTCATAATTATGATATTTATTTAATTTTGTGTAACATGAAAGTGTAGGAATTAAGCCATTTGAATTGAATAGTTTGGAAAAAGTTTATGTAGCTTCAGGCAGAGCTCGAACTCGATGAAATTTTGTATTGAGTAGAGTCGACTCGGAGTCGACTCCGTCATATAAAATCGATGAAAACTTCGAGTTGACTTCGAGCTCTGGCTTCATGAGTCAGTTTCTAAAGCCAACCGAAGCCTAGTCACAGTCAAATTTTAATTTGTACCCTAAAGTGTAGTACATCGAGTAGGGAACCGTAAGTAAGATTAATAATCGGCATCAGGTATCTTTGCACTTACATGGTGGAACTGTGCTTCTCATATCAGCTCTTATTCCTATTCGATAAATTTTCAATTTGCATATGCATCAATCTTCAGATTGATATCCAATAAAGTTGAAAAAATCAAGTTGTGAAAGTGACATTCATCAATAGCTTTAGATATCAGTTAAGAGTACAATATTTTTTATGTAGGCTGTATTCAAGATTATTGACTAATAAGAGGAGCTTTAACAAGCTGTGGGTAGAAGTCTCAATGAGTTCTGATGCTTCCTTCTTGTTCTTCAATCAGTTAATCTTTAGGTGTGGTGTCATAGCAGATTTGAAGCTAAAGTATTGACTCATATTTACGCGAATCAATCAGTGCGAAAGTTAAGCCTCTGTGGCCTAGTAGCTAGGAAGCAGGGGGGATATCTGTAACATTTTCTTTGCGAGGATGAGGTTTCATTCCTATCAGAAAATAAATTTTTAAATAAACAGCTTCAATCCTGGATTAGGGAAACATTTGACCTTCCTACTCGTTGGGATTTAAAACATCCCTCAATTCGACCAATTTCCTTACTTTTATCTTCTACTGAATGACAAAAAAACACTTTAATCACACTCAAAAACTTCTCAATTCTAATCCATCAAACAGATTCATCAAAATCGCTTCCATTATGCCACCTAATAGACATTTAATAATACAAAGAATTCCTGTTAATTGATTTTAACAGCTTTTCAAATTCACTCATCTTAACTGTTTATTTTCACATCATCGAATGGAGTGAAAACGTTCAGGACAACAGTTCGAAAACAGACAAAGAAGAAATCTTTAATGTTTGTCTGACAAAAGCAGACATACGAATGACGACAAACAAGCACACACAAAAAAAAATTCGATCAAAGAGACATTAAGGTGTTGATGATGAAAATGTTCCTTGTGTCGTTCCGAATCAAAGCATCACAAAGAAAAAAGGGGGGAGAAGTAAACAGACAGAATACAAAAATATCCTCGGTAATCAATACGACAACAAGATAAAGTTTTAATGTATATCGAATGCCAGATAATGCCACATATTTGACAAAACAAATTCGCTTATAAAATTGCAATATCTTCTTCTTCAGCCTTATTGTTGCTATACACAAGTATTGCCGTGTATGGGGGTAGATTTCAAATTGAGATAATCATTGTATATGAGCTCGAAGATAAGTTTTAATAGGTTTTTGAGAATACTTTTTATATTAACCAAATATTTTTGAGGCAGTTCGTACTCAACAGGGATGAAGTCAGGGTATGGAGTCATTATTTCCCTGAGTTAAGCTAATTTCGACAATTTGCTAGAGATTTTTAAAAAAAAACCTAAAACCTTCATCTAAGGATCCCCCTCCCGAATGAAAAATGTCAAGCTACACCCCTGTCGCTCACCAAACAATTGCCGTCAACAATGAACATCCACCGTACATTATTATTGAGTCGAGTCAATGTTAAGACGGCAAAAAAAAATATTTTTGTACACATTTTTGTGAGACGTCCCTGTGTGAGAATGTGACAAGTACCTACTTATTTAATAGAAAAAAAAACAGAGCATTGTCAGAAGTGTCAAAAAGTTGTGATTGTTTGTTGGTTTATGCGAGGAGGGTTGCGATATAAATTTTTGTACTCACTCTTCTTCATCGTCTTCTCATTGTCAGTAATTCCGTTCACAGTGGGGATATTTTTTTATTATTTTCGATATAATATTGAATTGTGTAGTCGTGTTTATGATACGTTCAATGTAATTCCACTTCTTATTTATCCTTCTGTGATTCTTTTGACAAAAAAAAATTAAATCACTGATTTCTATAAGTATTTTTTGTACTTCAGACGTGGCAGAGGGTTGCTAATACTAATTGAACTTTTGTGTTACGTCCTCATTTTGTCGTTTATTTATTTGCATGTATATTTTTTTGGGTAGGATTTGGGAAATTGTAGGTGCGTTGAGTGAATTTGGCGCATTTTTTATGAATTGTGGGATTATTGACTTTGGGAGAAGGGATTTGGTCATGATTAGGAATGTTTTTATGAGAGCTTGGGCAGCTTAAAAGCTTCACTAGATTCCGTACGCTTGGTGTATCCTAAAGATAGTCCTAATTTACCAGCAGTCACATTTATAGGCCTGGGTTTTGAACTTTGTACCATACCTTTGGACTTTATTGTCTATACTTTGCATTTAATCCCAAGGATTTGAACCAAGGCCTAAGATTTAAACTAAGGAAATTCCAAATGCAACCTTGACCTAGTCGTGAGTATATCATGTAGTTAAAATGAGCCATTAACCTCCCTGAATAATGTTAATCCACAAAACAACTCACATAAAACCACAACGACAAATCAACAGAAAATTCCCGATTCCCAAATAGAACAGCTCTCAAAAAAAGAGGTTGGAACTTAAAAAAATCCCATTCAAAATAAAAATCGTGTAAATGGCAGTAAAATGAAAATTATTTTCGAATTTCATTTTATTGCGTCAAATAAAACAAACAGGAGCGAGCATGAGGAATTTGTTTACCACAATCATGATAAACATACTTCGACTTTGTTCGGAGACTAAAAAACACATTCACAACCACTTTAGGGAATAATTTTAATGGCTATGACATTCAAAGGCCTTTCATATATTTTTTTTTCTTCAGTTCCTTTTTATTGCTGCCATGTAATACAAAATGGCACACACAACACGTCAATACACATTGCTTAAAAAGGTGCTTTTTCAATAAAGTGATAAAAGTGAATGTCATAATCCTCTATCCATACACATTTTATCGTTGGATTTAAATTTTTTTCTTTCTTTCTTTTTGTATTCGTCCGAAATAAAAGAGCCTAAAAGTGCCTGAAAGCTATAAAGAAATGAATGAAAAATGCTATAAACTTACTTACCTGTTTCATGCTGGAATGGCGAATGGTTGGCATTAGGGAATTTGCTAGACATAAAGCATAATCGTAAAAATATCTTGATGGAAGCTTTAATTCAGTATGGAAAGTGGATGAATGGGAGGAAGAAAATGAATTGCAAAGGGATGGTAACTTGAGAATAAAATCTGTTGTTGAGTAGGAAAAGCTTGAAATTTTTTTTAAATTAATGCGAAGGGGGTCTGGAAACTTAAGATGCCAGTTTCGTTTGTGGAAATGCAAAAATATAAGAGTGAATGTCAAAGCATGTACCTTGACAGGCGCGTAGCCAGGAGGGTCTTGTCTCGTTTTGAACCGCTTAAAATACTCAGATAAACTTGCTTCCTTTCTGTCACTAGCTCAACTCATATAAGCAAATAGCGATTGATTTAAGATTACATTAATACATTGGTCAAAAAGTAGTAAAATGTCAATAATTCCTTCCCAACACCTTCCTCACTCACCATAATTAAAAACTTTGAACTAAATTCTCAAGCTAAAATTGAAGCAAAAACAAAAATTAATGAGTCTATCCTAAGAAAGTGAAGCCCGAAGTACAAGTGCCCATAAAAAAATTTAATCATCCCCTGACAAATGAAAATTCCATACTTGGGTCATAAAGTTTCATAGCTGAGTTTGGTGCCTGCATAGAAATATTCAAATTTCTCTTTGGGGTTCGTTCATAAATTACGTCAGCTTTTTCATGAGACATGTAGGAGGGGGCAGAGAAGTTAGTCCATGGTTTTGTAAATATTTTGAATTTTTTTCCGAGAAGCGAGTCTGACATAATAAGTGCACAGTCCCTATTCCTCGTTCTGTTATGCTGTATAGTCTTATGCAATTCAGAAAATAAGAGGTTATTACAATTCAGCGAACAGGCAATGTAGAGCTGTAAAAAGATGGAAATAGAAAGATACAGAATGGACAGGAAAATTAGTAAAAAAAAGTATTTTTTTTTATTTAAAAGATTGTTCCTTTATTTTTTTTTTGTTCATCATCATGATAGTTTTTTACGGTGTTTATTTTTTATCCTTAAAAATTAGCACCAGCCTTAAAATTTGAAAAAAAGAATTTTCATGAATTTTTTTTTCTTCTTTTTTTGTTATGATCTCTTAATCGTCTAAAATGACACTTAACTGCTACTCATCTTCATAAATTGTAAAACATTTAAAGAAATTCTTCTCATTTCATGATGCATCTAAACGTCAAAAAAATTATAATAATCATAAAAAAGATGTTTGATATTGCTATTGTGTTTGTTTGGGGCGTGTTTGGGAAAAAATCTTATTTCTTTTTTTGTTCATTTTTGAGGTTTTTTTTTCACACTCTTCTTTGTTGCCATAAAAAATGTTTATCATGATATTTTACCATGTGCACGCGCGAGCTTAAAGAAGCAATTCTCTGTTTTTTTTTATTACATTTTCATGCCTCTTGCTTATTGTTAGCATTTCTGCATTTCTTTTTTTAAAAAAAGAGCCTCAAAAATTATTTTCATTTTTTACCTTTTTTGTTCATGATTTTTATTTTTTTGGTGAGTTGAGGGATGGAAACTTTTTTTCGGATTTTAGGTGATCCTCGAAATGTGATGAGCACTTTAAGCCAGTGGTGGGCATTCTGTTTTGTAACTTGAGGGTAAGCCATGACAGAAACCACACACAGCATATGATTCATAGGATGTTTGCAATTTTTTTGCGGCACAATAGTGTGACGTGGCACATGGGTTTGCCATCACTGTCTTAAGCAAGTTGTTGAACGTTTTTCAATTTGTGTATGTTGCTGTTCATGACAAGCGTAGTTGCATGAACAAGAATTCTTCAATCGTCTGTAATTTTGTTAAACCTATAAATATGGTTCATTGCTGTTTAAGGGCTGTTCATTTTTACGTTCGCTTTTAAGGAGAACTGAACACTGCGGACTTGTAAATTTCCACTTATTTTTCCAGTTCATAAGATTCGAAAAAGGACAAACGAAAAATATTCCATTCCGAGTCTCGAACCCATGATCGCTGTGTCGGTATTGCAATGTTAAGTTCCCAAAGTACTAAACCATTCCTCCACCGAGCTACTTTATCTCAATATTAAGTTTATGCAATAAAATTATATTATTGTATATACTATTAAATGTCCTTTCCAACCAGGCCCAAAGCTTATTGAAGTGCTGCTTCACATTTTCCAAAATAACAGTTTCCATTCCTCGTTTCATTCAATAAAATTCTCTTTTTTTAAAAAATAAGAAGGAAAATGAATTTGATGAGAATTCCAACGACAATGCCTGTAAACCTTTTGTACGTTCGTACTACGCACGAACTTCAATGTCATTTATTATATTACAAATGACGCAACAAGCAGACGAACAAAAAATTCTTATTAAATTCATTTTCAGACTTATTGTTATCATTTTGTATTAAAATTACTATTACATGATAATCATTCTCTAATTCTTAATTATAACATTCATGCTTAAAACTTTTTTTCATGTTTTTTTCTTTCTTATTTTTTAAAAAAATGCTTTTTTAGTCCTTATTAATTTTTCTTTCGTCTCGATGAAATTTTTTCTCGATGATATTTGGTTTCTATTTTTTGAATTTTCTTCCTTCCCGTCTCGAAAAATATTTTCCTCTCCTGCTGTCCTCGTTTGCCTTCATTTTCTATGTTTTGCTTGGACATTTCCGGCACATCCAAAAAGATGAGTTGAGAGATATGATGTGAAAAATATGCATGAATATGTGAGTAGTTTTGAGACGGAGATGTGGATGGTTAAAATAAGACACAGTGAGAGAAAAAATTGTATCGGATAGGAAGCGAAGAAGGAAAGATGTGTCAATTATTTTGAACTTTTGCTTATTTCCAAATCATCACATTATATTTTATTGCATTAACGCTTTCGCATCTCATCCATTCATCGTCCTTTCTTCCTCTTTATAATTTTATTTTACTCTTTTTTCTTTCTTCCTATTTTTCAGTTCTTTGGGATTTCATTATTGCTACTGGAATTCTGTGGGGTTGAGCATTGCTGTAATAAAAAGTCGGCAAGTAATAAAAATTTATTGGTCAGAACGTCTTTTTATGTTCGTAATTTTTTTGATGCTGGGCTTTTTTTCATCCTTGAGATTATTTCTGTCAGATTTTGATGCTTAAGGAAATCATAGGAAGTCTGATTTTGTAAGTTCTCAATAAGTTAGGGATAAGGAGCTAATCTTGATAGTCTTAAGATGTCGGATGCCCTTAGTAAACGTTGACATGACTTTTCAGCTTAGAATGACTCGTTTTTTGAATCAGTGGTGGACAACCTTTTTGAGCCACGGCACACCTGGGTGGTGAGCCATATACAGAACCGAACACAACATATGGTTCGTAAGATTTTTCTCTGCACAATAGTGTGCCGCGTCACACGGGTTGGAAATCACTGTTTTAAATAATAAGCTTCATTATACAACAATTTAAGACTCATAATGGTGCCTAGGAACATCGATCATATCATCAAGACCCGTAAATTCGTTAAAAGGCAATTTAAAACCTATCATTAAAAAATGCTAGAAGCTATACAGAAATAAGAACCTCTCTAGATTAAAAGCTTAAGAACAGAAAATAACGAGGGTTCAAGTTCCACTCGAGATCTGTTATTCAGAGTTATCATCTTTTCTTATTTATAAGTTCGGTCCCTCGCATTAAAGCAACTTAATGAAAATCAGTTGGATGTCCGCAAATCAATATTTTTAAGTATTCCATTTCGAAATCTAACAAAATAACCTCAAAGACATCACACCCCATGATTATCTCCACTGTATTGCAAATACACAAAGTCAAATGTGAATGTTTATGGATAAAAACTTCATAAAGAAATTCCTTTTGTATTTGCAAGATATTGGAGCAGCAGTGAGTCAAGCAAACAATGAAAATTTTATTTTTTACGGTCATTTATAAGAATCACTTTAAACTTACCGATTGTCGCTTCTCCCACAATTTCATTGCAGATTTATATTTCTCAAATTCGTGACACCAGTCAGCGTATATCTTTTGATAGTCATTGCTTTTACTTGGCGCTGTACATCTATATAGAACAAAAAAGTATAAAGAGACAAAGAGTGAGTATTTATCATGATAAGGAAGACACAAGTATAAATATTATGATAAAATATAATAGCATCATATTCATACCTATGAGCATCAACTGTTATGATATAACTACACAATAGTGATCCACCTAAGTGACAATCATACCGTCCACTATCGCTCTCATGCGATGCAACAATAACTAATCCCCGTTCCGTTGTTTCAATGTGTTTGTGAGCATTATATCTAATTTCATAACTATATAATGTTATTGTTAAATCCATACAATAACAAAAGGACATGTAGCATGATGATTAAGTAGAATAGACCATGGTAAGCAAAGCCACAAGAGTTACGAAGTAGAATAAGAGATAAAAAGTTCAAGAGAATTACATACAATAATAAAAACATATTAACTGTTTAATGTTTATGCTATTACCGTCCATTATCCTTCGAATGATGATACCAAACCACTTGTTGATCTCTCAAAATCTCTGGTACAGTCTCAAAACATCCCAAATGTATGCTCTGTCCATATGTTACAACGATTTTGTTCTTTGACACACTTGAATCACAAATATCGTTTGTCTCATTGGCAACATCCTTTACATGCGAGAGAGATGGAAGAAAGGAAGGTAGAATTAGAAATTGATATGAATTATGTTGGTCTATAGATAGTAAGGTTGGGTAGGGGGGCAGATGTTCCATTGTGTGTTAGAAGCACATTAAAATTGGGGAGGGGGACCTGCTTCATTCTTGATCATGTCCTGTATTTTTTGACTAAGTTTTGACATAATTTAAGGTAAATTTAAGCAAAGCATGGCTGTTATTCGCACATTACGTAGTTTCAACTGGACCATTACAATCTATGTTGCTTGAAGTGATTTGAAGTCGTTCCATCTACCAGCACCATTCCTGCCCATTCCTATAACAAGTCTAAAATCAGCCCACTCAGCTATCGAGTCTAAATTATTCATCGACTAGCCTGAAGCCATAGAACATAACAATCATATTCAAGCAACCAAACTATCCAACAAATTGTCACTTACATTCCAATTTGTATGGCCAAAAATAGTACCAAGAAACACATGTATTGAAATATTAATGACAAGATATACAGGATGTGAAAAAAAAAATATCTTTCAAGTTAGTTTAGAAATGTTCATGATTATGATGATGATAAGGAATCCTTGTTCATGTGTATAGTATGACCACAAAATTTTATGTCATTACTGTTATCATCACAGATTCAATTACATCTACCATCAACTTGTTCTGTTCTCAAAAAAAAAAAAACCTCAATTCTCTCCGACACTTCAAGTTACTTATTTTCTTCATCCTGCCCCCCAAAAAAACTAAACCCCAATACACAATGTGCAAATGGTTTTTAATATACATCCACAGCAGTGGTATACATGCACATGAGAAATAGAGAAATCCTCTCACCTGTAATAATCCTGGCTCATATGGTTTACATGAATTCGCATCATGATCCCAACCACAATACGGATCTTTCACACATCTAAAACAACTGTCATACCGATGGCTACACATTTCTAAATCAATTTGTTTAATACGATGATCTGTCGATACATAAAGCGATTTATGTTTTTGACTTATATCAATCACTTGTATGGCTTCATTCTTTGCTATTTCAAATATATCCAATAACTTTGACTTTGATTCGCCATCGCGAACAAATTGAACGATTTTATAGATGCGACCATTGTTTGTGCCAATATAATAAACTTTGTATTCGTGATTCGTTGTTGGACTGCGGATTCTGATTAATTTTGTGGAAGAAGAAATAAAATCAATGAAAATGCGAATAAAATTGGAATATTCAGCCACAACTCACTTGTCAACAGCTAATTTTGTGAATACTAAATCGCGCTTATAAAATACAGGATTATTATGTTCATGATTAACTGGTTTATCCATTAATGGGTGCGATCGGATGAAGTTGAGGACGACATCAGGTAAGTTTTGTGTTTCGTCAACGCACATTCCAGGACGTGGCTCAGGTACCTTTGAATTAAGTACTGGTAACCATGCAGAATTTGAACTTGCTTGTTCTTTAAACTTTCCTTTAAAAGTCGAATGAATTTCATTGATATCAAAACTGCACACAGCTGATCCAACTAATCCGTTCGTACTCGTTGTAAATGTCGCATAAAATTTCGTCTTATCAGTCGGAATTTGATAAACTGATTGAATCTCGTTGAAATAAAATGGAAATTCACCAGATATGCTACAATTAAGTCGAGCCTTTAAGTAGGTCGCAAAGTTTTGACTCAAAATATTCTTTCCGCCCATATCTTTCTTACAAATTCGAGCAACACGTGAATACACAGCTTTACCACAATTTATATACTCGACAGCTGTCTCACGAAAGAAGAAGTATACATAGTCGCCAATGTCAAAGGATCCAACGAAATTGGGCTCTGTGAATGTTAAAGAAATTGTAAAAATTTGTGAGTATTTATAATGAATGGAATGACAATGGTTAAGGGGTGGACATAGTTTGGTAGTGAGAAATTGTTTAAGCATGATTGGAGTGAAGTCGGTGGTTTTCAGTTGAATAAGAACCTTCATTCTCCTTTGAAGCTTCGACAGCATGAGCCACTCTACAATTGGACTGAGCTTGGTATCTCCCCAAGCTGTCCAAATTGCATTGTATCGGTTTTAAGATAGTGAAGCTCAAGGAGCCCTAGAAACCAATCTCTTGTAAAGTAAGTCACATATTCAGTCTCAACTATTCCTCTCATATTAAAGCTCACAGTTACAAACCATTATAACATGCCAATTTTCCCACTACCATCGTTCCACCTCCCAGCTACCCATTAATTAACTTACTATCAAGCCATTTTGAATCATATTTCAGTGTTCGTTTGAAATTATATTCCTTTCGGCCAGTTGTCATGTTATAAATGTCAGCACGAAATATAACGGAATCGGCTTTTGTGAATTCAGCATTTGTTCCAGAATACTAAATGAATGAGAAATACAATACATTTAAAATAAAATCTACAAAGAATAGCCTTAAATTATTTGTTTTAATTACCAGCGCTGAAAAATCGCCAGGATTGCCCTTCTCAACATAAATAGCTGTTGAATTGTCAAGTGGATCGTACGGGCACTTGCCAATGCCATTTCCGATTCCAGGTAGAAGCTCTGATCTTGGTAAATGTGTTAAATTTGTCTGTTTGGGAAAAAATAGAAATTAATTAGCTGTGCTATATAGTTTAGGAATATAAATTAGCAATTTTAGATGATGAAATTGGAAACATAAATTGCGGCATCAATGTTGATTAATTTTTGAGGCAGAAGAACCTCAACAACCAGCAAAAACAGTCAACCTCATTAATTTATATTTTATTGAATTTCGAAAAAGCTCGTGAATTTTCAAGTGAATGTGAAAATTAATTAAATTTTCAGCATGTCTGTTAAGATCACATTTTTGAGTTTTGAGGTTATTTCGTTGAGTTGTGCTTTAAATTGGCGCGTGAGCTTTTAATATTATTTCAGCTTAAAGTTGCACAATTTTAAATATCTTGTCTCATATCCTCAATGCTTTTAATTTTCCTAATACACTTTATATATGCCCAATAAAAGCAAGAATCATGTAGCAATAAAAATTTATTTCTCATTCAGTTAATTTCAATTTCGTTATATCATACAAATCCATCAACATGATTGCTTTTTACTGCTTGATAATGTAAATGTAGACATCCATACATCTATAGCTGATGTGTCTACAATTTTGTATATTAATACATGGCACATATCAATTTATAAAGCAACAAAAAAATGAATAAAAACTGCATGTCGATATGTTAATGAAAAGAGAGAGAATCATGACATGAGGAAAATGATGTGATAATGCTGACGCGATTCTTTTTGTTTGTTCATGTATTGATTGAAAATGGATTTATCACGCGTCTTTCATTATGCTCATCCTCATTTTTTTTCCTGCTAGTGAATCGATTTAGTTCAGAGTTGTGGCTCTTGGTGCTTTAAGGATTCATTTTGGAGTCTGATCAAATTTTTGAAGTTATTTTACCTTGAAATGCTAAATTTGCAAATGTATGGTCCTTACTAGGGTCTTAAAATTTTTATTCTTCAAGACAGGTGCGTATCCAGGGGGTCTTGTCCCCCCCCCCCCCCAATTAAACGTTTTGAGTTGCAGCAAGAGCACGGCCTAAAAGTTTTAACGCTTAAGAGGGGGACAAGACCCTCCTGGCTATGCGCCTGCTTCAAGATTAAAATCAGTTGAGCCCCAAAATCACCAAAAAAAGCGTAAAAAGCTTTTGTTCCATAAATCCATTCATAATTCTCAAATCCCTTACTTTACTACAACTCTAGCTCACCAACTCTGCATTTTATAACTCACAATCACATACATTAATGTTGAAATTAATTGCTCGTATGTTTGTGATTTCTCTCGAGGGAGTCGACAGCCCGACAATCATACATCAATGAATAATTGATGATGTTATTGTAACATCATTATGATAAAGTATGAAAGCTTTAATTTTGTATATTATGCTTTTGATTAATACGAGATAATGCATTATGATTCCTTTTTTGGTTTTATATGCTTTGAAGCCTCAATATAGGCCTTTCAGATGCTTTGGTTGTTTTAAGTTTTATCAAAGACATTTTCCATTAACATGATTGTTTGCAGATGCACTTTCTTTCATTTGAATGCCGTACACAATAGACTCAATTGTTTAAAAGAGAAGAAAAAATAAAACTTACAAAAATAATGTAATCCTTTGGATTGTGTGCATATGTTCCACATATATACAGTCGATTTCCTTCCATAGGCTGCAACACGCGGATGTGATTGCGACAATCAAAGTGCTATTGAGGAATGAAAAGGAATTTTTAATTTATTATGAGTTTTAAGATGAAATGTAATGACATGGCTGGGATCTACTATGTAGATGTGCTAGATTTCATCATTAAATTAAATTAAATCCAAACTTCTATTAAAACAACAACAAAATTCCTCATACCTGACTTTTTCCTTTGGAAATGCAATTACGAACATCACTAGACGTTGGCTCTAAAAGAATGTGATCTCGCTGTAATTAAAGAAATGTCTCATTAAGTTTATTATGCGATGCATGAAAATAAGCTCATCTCACCTCACAACTTGTTCTACTTATATCATCTAGATGAAGTTTTAAAATACGATCCCTAGTTTTTATTTTTTTGTTAAATATGAAAAGAATTTTTTTATATATTTTAATATGGCACTTTTAAGTGGATGCTTAGCTATTGAGACATGCAACTGTAATTAAATGACGGCATTATATACTTACATGGCACCAACATAAAGCGCCTCATTATGCTCTTGGAGCAAAAAGTTACGGTAGTAATGTTTACCACATGTAAATTCTCGTACATGATCTGAAAAGGCAGGAAATGAAAAGAACATTGTTAGTAAAGAATGACTGTAGACATGCAGTGTTGTTGGGGGTTTTTTTCTCGCATATGTTGAAGGTGGAGTGTTTTCAGGGATATTCATTTATGCCCCTCCCCCCCCCCCCCCCCCCCCCCCCTAAAGTAGCTAATTAAATACCTAGAAACTTTTATTTTACAGTAGCTTGAACCCCAGCGATTAGTAAATCACTTAAAAAACAAAAGCTTTAAAATACAAAATTTATTAAATAAATCATCCAATGTGCCACATCCGTAGTATATTCTCGTCACACTTCGTTTTATGAATGGACGAAAATCATTAAAAAAAAAAATTCTTTGTAAAAATTTATCAACTGAATTATTATCAACTAATTAGCAGCATTAAAGTCACTAATTGTTGTTACTTTTAATTTTCATTCATTCTTACGGTCTTTTGACTTTTAGCAATTTTTCATTCATTCTTGTGACTCTTCTTAGCTGATACAACATTCTTTTGCAACCCTCATTTTTGAGACTATACCTGAGAAAATGTAACAAATTCTTTGGAAAATGTCTAAAATACATCACGTAGATTTAAGCTCATTTGACATTTTAATTTATTTTTGCTAGTAGAAATTGACCGTAAACATCTTTTTTCGTATTTACAACATTAAGATGTCTCATTGACTATTTTAAGTCAACAATATATTTCGAGTTCTGAGTCGGAGTAATTAACAAGTTAATAAAAGTCATGGGATATGAGTGTGGAATTTACCGTGGTTGTAGAAAATTAAGTTCATTCAATAATTTTTGCCTTTTTTAAAATTGCTTCAATTATAAAAAGAAATTTCTCGAAAAAATTAAAAACTTGTTAATAATTTTGTTTTTTAAAAATTATCTTGTACAACCCCAATTAAAATTAACTGGCATCTAATTGAGTGTAGAGATTGACGTAGATCCTTATTGACGCAATTTAAAATGATACAAGAATTATTAGGAATATTTTATTTTAGCATAGGCGTTATGACTAAATGTCCATCGGGTTTAGCCGATATTTGGTAAAAAAAAAACGGAACAGACCAAATTTTCAAGTACTTTCTTAGAAAAATAGGTTCAAAAAATCGGAATATTAAGGATTATAGGCGGGATTTTGTTCAAAAAAACGGGACTTTCCTGCTCAAAAAGACACAGTTAGACAGCCTGGTCATGAGGAGTGTCTTCAAGTGAAAAATGAATTTTATTTTACTTTTTTTTTGTAAGGAAACTTTGAGTGGTGGAGGGATAGTATTTTTTCATTTGATTGCATTTACTGCATTTTAATGAACTTCATTCTGGAAATCCTTACAAAGCCAGAAATCTTTCACCTATGAAGTTGATTTTCATCACCAGAATACACCATTGGATTATGGCAAAGGCTTAAACTCTCTTTTACCTCTTGACTATGTGTATGGTCTGCAGGAAATTGACATTTTTTTCTTCGTTGATTAGATGACTGACACCCTTTTTCCTATTCTACTCGCTGTCTCCCTAGTTATCATTTTCATTTGCAATAATAACCTCCTACAGTTGTATAAATTCTGTATGTCCTCATCAAGGTTCCTTAAAAAAATCTCATATGTTTCTCGGTTTGTTCCAGAAATTTCTCTCTATTTTCCTTGTTTATGTCAAAAAAAATATTCTTATCACATTTTTACATCGATAAACATCAACTTTATGAATCACAAAACGTCAATCTTTCTTTTGTTGTCTTATCTTCATGTCTTTATTAAATCACGAGACTTTTTTTAGATTGTAATAATTTTAAAGCAAACAAACAACCCGTACACAGAAAATATTATCCATTTTATTGTATGTTCCAAGAAAAAAAGCCAAATCGGCACCTTGCCACCTTATTTTAAAAAAAATTAGCAAAAAGAAAAGAAAACGTAATATCTGAACATTTGGTGAACAAAGTCCGTGGTGTTGACAACACATGAATAAAATCGATAATTTAAATTTTTTTTAACTCGCGAACGATAAACGCGGTGTTGATTCGAATATTAATTAAATTAAAATAAGTGTTAATTCATTATCGTGCTCGAATAAATTTTTTCATCCATTTCTTCTGACTTTTATTTCGTTCTTGTGCTCTGGCAGATTTACTGACGGTTTTGATCAAATTATTATTCAGTAGAATCTCAATCGTTGAAAAGCGCGAAGCACTTGAAAAAAAAAATAATTAATTGTGCTTTTCATATAGTCATGAGCTGTATAGGTAAGCAGGGAAAATTGAAGAGCTAAAGCTTGTTATTGAACATATACGGATGCTTGAGTTGTGGAAATGAAATTGAACAATGCTAAATTTTACAATATTTGGATTAAATTGATGAAAGAGTCATGAGAAATGTAGAAATGGTGCTTTATTGGATCTAGTGACTGCATCAATGCATAAAGTGTTTCTAAAAATGCTTCATTCAAATTTCAAGTGATTGAAAATTCAAATAGCGAATGTGAAACAATTTTTTCAAGCAGATGTGAATGTTAGACTTGAAATTGAACTGCTTTTTGAGTATTGTGGCTGTTAATCATTTCCGTTGCTTATTAAAATAAAATTAACAACTTTAAAATAAATTATTTTTTCACGAGAATTAAGTTAAATAAACAAAATTTACTAATCTTTGTCAACAAAAGGAAGCACAGATTAATATTTTCCTGATTTTATCAGTTTGAACTAAAAACTTCCGATAATTTGCTGAATTTTTATCTCGTAGATAAGAAAAGTGTGAGTCCATTTTATGCGATAACCTTGTAAAGGCTGGGTTAGAAATTATGATTTCTTATAGGCAAACTATACTTAAAGAGGAACTTTGCCAGGATAGTACCAAAAGTAAAGATAATCTGTGTTGAAATAAGCGATTTCATGTAAAAGCCAGTCAACGATAAATCATGTTGGTACAAGGGAACAGAAAAAGAGTGTAACTTTTATATTGGATTTAGCTATATAGTCGTCTAATTCTCGATAGCTCAGTGGTAGAAGCATGCGACCGATTATCATAGGATGTGGGTTCGAGTCCCACTCGGGATCCTTTATTCGGATATATTCTTACTTCTAGATGTTTCCAATAATCACTTCATCCCTATAAATTACTTCAGACACACTTTGATAACATCAGTAAGCTTGCAGCAAGCAAATCATCCCAAAACTAGTAAAAAATTTCACAACCTGACGTAATCTCCAATCTAAAACTGAATCCAACAAAAATTTCTGCCGTATCATAATGAAATCAAATTTTCCACACATGTGACTTCACTCCCGACACAAGTCTGAACACAAAACCGTTTAACAGAAAATAATGATAAGGAATTTATGATGACTTTTAACTTTTTCATTCCGCAAGCATTTCCGCACCTGACCTGAGAATTAACTTGAAACAAAAAGCAAAAGTTTGCAATTTTATTGTTTTTTAAGAAAAATAAAAAAAACGTGATAGGAGAATAAAAGTTTGGAGGATAATTCGGGAGTCGTTCATAAGTGATGTTTAAGATTTGATTAAAATGGGTAAAAGGGGAAGCTGAGGAATTGTTTTAAAAACTTTAATTGAAAATCAAGAGATTGCACTATGAAATATAATGGCAATTCAAGTGGAACTAGAGCAGGTCCAGTGAATAGCTTTTGAAATCAGTTCGATGGAGTGTAGATTTGATTTTTGAGAAGGTTTTGGATTTGTCTTTCAAGTAAAAATATTAATGTGGGCTCTGGACAGAATAAAACTCTATGGCAATGGTCATGAGTAAAGGGAATCAAATTATTAGACTAGTTTGATTAAAAGATCAGTTTCTCTTGGGAATCGAACGCTAATTTTTATGAATTAGTAGCTTTTGGAATAGATTTTCGGTCTAATGCTCAACTACTTGCTCAAATAGGCCTTATAATGGCTTATCAGTGCATTGGCAGACTCCATATAGCTTGACAGCTCCAGTTTCGACATCAAAGGCTAAATTACAGCAGCTTATTTAAAAAAAACTATATGATGAACTGTAGAGCTTAAAAAATCCAATTTCAAAGACAACACATAATAACGACCCCAAAAGGTGAAGCAAAGATATTTTAAATATTTTCTCCTTTATTTCCAGCAGTGCCGTGAAGAAATTTCTACTCAAGATAAAAAATTAAACTCACATAAAATTATTTCTACATAAGAAATTCTTCTTCTAAACTCAATTAAATCTTACTCAGTGCGGTGGATTTATTATTATTATTTCAACCTCATCGAGAAGACAAAAAAAGGAAGAAAAAAAAACTTCAAGCGAGCAAAAAAAAGCGGAAGAATTCCGGCGAGAAAGTTTATTAAGAATTTCTTTTTTTTCCCCTCTCATCTCACGGAACTTCATTTTGTGTGCATTTAACTTGAAGCACAACAAAAAAAAAGTTTTTCTTCCTTCATATTGTTAAAGCAGAAAGATGAACAAAGCAGTACAACAACTTTTTATAGTTTTAGTAGTCATATCCGGAACAGCAATCCTCGCATTCGAATCAAAAAACACTTCCGAAGATGACAATAATATAGATATAGAATATGATTATCATCGAAACTTGGCAGAATTTCAAAATCCGGATAAGTTGAGTGCTGGAGAGCGGCAGCTGTGTACGGAGACAAAAACAGAGGCATTCTCGCCGTATGATTATGCAGTTGTTATTGCCATGCTTGCTGTATCATTGAAAATTGGACTTTTTTATGGCTTTTGTCATAAAGGCTCGTTAGAGTCGTCATCATCTGATTTCATGCTGGGCTCTCAAATGAGCTTATTTCCAGTGACGTTAAGTCTAACAACAAGTTTCGTTACTGCCATTGAACTTTTAGGAAATCCGGCTGAAATGTTCTTTTATGGTTCACAGTTTGCTCTCATTGGTGAGTACGAGGAGCTCTTATGAGAATTATCGGAATATCTATCATTATATTCTACCTCAAAAAATCCCATAAGCATCCTCATAAAATCAACAAAAATGTCCACCACATTCTGATTAATGTATTTCAACCATTTCAGTCATCTCAATGATTTTAGTCATTCCGGTTGCACTTAAAGTTTTCTACCCAATTTACCACGAAATGCAATTGACCTCATGCTATGAATATTTGGGTGTACGATTTGGACGGAAAATGAGATTGATGGGTGGAATTCTTTACATTCTTCAAATGTGCTTCTACACGTCCGTCTCCGTGTTGGCACCTGCAATTGCATTGTCAAAGGCCACTGGCCTCAATACACGACTTGCAATCATTCTGATTTATTTGGTCTGCGTTTTTTACTCAAGTCAAGGAGGATTGAAAGCTGTTGTCATTGCTGATACATTTCAAGCTGGAGTTTTATTCATTTCGATGGCACTGATTGTGATTGTTGGAACTTCTTATCAAGAAGGTGGTGTTGAAGAGATTTTCAAAATTGCTAACGATAATGACCGATTGGATATGCTCAAGTAAGTCAGTAATTAGTTTTTATAGATTTATACCTTAAACGTTCTTAATTGCAGCTTTAATCCACATCCACATGAGCGGCATTCTGTATTTTCTGTAATAATTGGAGGATTTTTCTATTGGACATCACTGCTGTGTGTTAATCAATCGACAGTTCAGAAGGCAGTGTCATTAAAGAATTTAACGAAAGCCAAAATTGCTCTAACATTGTCCGTATTTGGGTTGGTCTCGGTCTTTTTGGTTAACTTTTATACTGGCATCATGGCATTTGCTCATTATGAAAATTGCGATCCCATGAAATCTGGTCAAATTGATGCTATTGACCAGCTGATGCCTTTTTATGTTATGGACATGTTTGGACATATTCGATTTTTCGTTGGCATTTTTGTGGCTGGGTAAGCAAAAAGCAACAAAACTTTAATTTTCCTAATTGATGTAAATTAATTAGCTAATTAATCGATTTTTATTTTGTAGGATTTTTGCAGCAAGTTTAGGCACAGTTGCAGCATGTTTAAGTTCATTGTCAGCGGTTACAATGGAAGATATTCTGATAGCTGGATTTAATGTGAAAATTTCACCGCAAAAAGGATCTTTGTATGCAAAATGGATGTCAGTTGGGTGAGTTTTTAAAGAGATTACTGTCATTTCCTGTATTTTTACATGCTTGCATGCATATGTGTCTGTTACTTGCTCAAAACATTTTATTCAGTCAAGAATAAGAAGCAGCATGCAAATGTATTGGTGCGGTAAAGGCCGAAATAAAAATAAAACAATAATTCTCATTCATATGAAAATCCTTTCCATTTTTATTTTGCATGCATGTCTACAGTTATGGAATTTTTTCATTCGGATTAATTTTTTTGGTCGAAGGACGAGGCGTTTTGCAAGCAACTTTAACATTAAATGGTCTTGTGGGTGGAATTTTATTAGGATTATTCTCACTCGGAATATTTTTTAAATCAGCAAATGTGAAGGTAAGTAATGTGGAGTTATAGTCGAGATATTTTACAAAACAGAAGTATGGAGAGAATGGAATGAAATTTCAGGAGAAGAAGGCCATAAATTGGTTATTTAAATTAAAAAAGGGTACTCAAGCTTGATATTTAGTCATAATTCTTTAATTTTGTAGAGTTGGAGATGCTAACACTTATAAAGCTTGAAATCTAGTAAAAAGGAGTTCCTGGTTTAAAATTCAGTCCGACACTGTAAAATGGAGGATTCCTTAATTAGAATTCTTTGAAATAATTGAACCAAAAACTCCCCTCAAAGCTCGAGTCCCCCTGCAAACCTTCCATCTTCTTTAAAACTTCTGCTTCCTCACCTTTAAAGACACTTTAAAGCTTCACATATGAGCACGTATAAACACCACTTAATCTGCTTTCAGGGAGCATTTTACGGAGGACTTTTAGCAATATGCTGCGTTACAGTTCTCGGAACAATGGCACAAATAAGAAATACCACAGAGCAGCCATTTCTACATACATCGGTGAGTGAATGCGATTGCATTGTGAATACGACATCAACATCAATAAGAGCATCAATAGACGAAGAATTATCAACATCATCAATGAGTAATGATGATGGATTTTTTGCAATCTTTTATCGAGTCAGCTACATCTACTATTCAATGATTGGCACAATATTGACCATAGTTTTTGGTTTAATCATATCATTCTTCACCGGACCAAACGATGAAGATAAACTAAGCAAACCAATGCCAAAGATTGTAGCAGATGACATACATGAAGGTGGATTCCGTACACCTGGACATTTCTCGGTCGGTTCTTTCCTATCGATTGCAACACACCGACGATTATCCTCATTCATGCAAAATGTATCACAATCGACATTGAAAGTCGAACATAAAATAAAGGAAGTCATATCACATAGCAATTTGCATCATTTGCATCACTTGCATGTGCCAAGCGACGATGAAGAAAGAATTAGCATTTTAAATGAAGAGGATGATCAATTGGAGAGTGAAATATCCACAAAAAGTAGTCACATGAATACAGCAAAAAGAAGAATGTTCTTTATCGGACATCAGGATGACAGAGTACACGATGAATAGCTAAATTCCGTTTTTCTTTTCATTCCAATACCCGAATCTCACAAAGTCATGTATAATGTGAACATTGTGAATAAACTTATTTGTATTCCATTCTCACCCATCCACCGGACATTCTTTTTTTTTATCCTCTCTTTTAAGGACATTGTTGTACATTTTTTGACACATTTTTTAAGTCTAGCTACTTTCGTATGCTTTTCATTTTCAACCCCCATTCATGGTCAAAGAAGGAGAAAAATTCTTGTCTATCCCTTTTTTTTTTGTGTGTATCCAGAAGTACAAGCATGAAATAAAAAATGAAAAAAAGATTTTCTTTTTTTTTTGAGTGAGCTGAAAAGTTCTTTTCTTCTTTTATTTTATTATTGTTGTACGTTCTCTCGTCCCCAACAGCAACGACGAAGCTATTTTTTAATTCTTATTCTTTAGCGTCGACATGGTTGCATTCCTTGTGTTTATCATGATATAACTGGAGATGTAAAGCATCATATCATAAAGGAATGAAAAAAAAAGGTTTCACTTCTCCCATTATCGTGGAATGAAATTTTTTTACTTCCTTCGTTCCTTTTTCTATGTCGATTTTGCACCCTTGGATGAATTTTTTATCGGAATTCTCGATGCTTTAAACAAGCTTTAAGGTGGAGGAAATGAGGTCAATTTTAATTGGGGAGTATTGAGTGGCATTTAAAGTTAATAGCTGAAGCTTTAGCACTCGATATTATATTTTGTATGAGTTTTAGGTTTTGAATTGAGCTGTCAAGCACCTGAACGCTTTCTAGCTACTCGATCGATTAGTTTTTATGCTTTACAGGACCCAGATGCTTCCCCTCATTTATACCAACTTAAGTGAAGTGAGTGCTGAGGGTCATCGATAGATAGGAGCAAACCTTAGCACTTCTAAAAACAGCACACGTCAATTATTCGACTGGAAATCGGGCACTAAGCCGACATTACTTTGGTACGATGCTAGACTTAATTCAAAGTCAGCATCATACCAAAGACTTTCCGATTTAATGACGGATTTCTGATCGAATAATCGACTAGTGCTATTCCGGTACATAAAAGCTTTAGTCCTTCATATTTCTTCAAATAGTTCAAAGCAAATCTTTAAAATTCCCAATCAAGGATTCCACAATTGAAGCATTACACAAAGAACAATTACAATAATAATCTGAAACCTTGAATGCTTCAAAGATAAATTGCTCTTGTAATATGAATTTAATTTTTTTATTAAAGTTTAATGCAAAACATTCTAAGGAACTTTATCATCAAGAGAATGAATACATTTGACCTAGATGCATCTACATTCTACTATTATCGTTATTATTATTTTTATTGTTATTATGTTTGTTGCAAGATGAAATATTAAGAAACTTCTCAATGTTCATCCTTGATGAATTTTTATTTTTTTTCCTTCAAAACGAGTCTGTTTTGATGTTGCTCGTTCGAGAAAGAGTTTAACATGCATTAAGTGACTTTAAAAAGTGATTAAAAGTAGTTTTCATGAAATTTGAAATTTTAGATGATAAATTGTTTAATTTTTGTGTTTAAAAGTTTGTTTGACTTTCTGATAAATTTGAAAATGTTGAGGGATTTAAAATTATACAGCAATTTGGAATTGAGCTTGATGAGAGCTAGATGAGTAGAGTTTTGAACGACTTTTAGTTTTTTTATCAATATTGTGTCAGTTTTGATATTGCTGGTTAAAATTGATTGAAACATATCGCAATAAATGCTTGACTCAGAACCTTAGGTTGAACCTTGGGCTGAACCCAGAACCTTGGGCTAAACTGAGAACCTAGGGCAGAACCCAGAATATATAGCTTAACCTAGAACCCCCTTCATCCTATTCATCTTTATTATCAAACACACCAAAACATTCACCAACGTCATCAATGCAATTAAAAAAAATCAACATCAAAATACACAATTAAAATCTCTGATGACGATGCCATCTAACGTCCAACTTTAAGGCTCTTTGATGTTAATAAATTCCATTCACATTCTTTTACTCTGTGCATATACATTGTGTGAGTCTTTATCTGCTTATCAAATTAAAAATGAAAAATTTCTCACAATTTGTACATATTACACATCATACGACCTCGAACATGAAAATAAAGGAAAGGATGTATGAGGAATGTATGAAAAAAATGTTTTGAATGTCCATATTAAGTGTGGGTGGGGAGCTGTTTGGATGTTATGTAGCTTTTGCGAGTAGGATGGATTTGAGATAGCTTTTGGACTCGATTTGCTTTAGGGATTTTGTTTTGATTAAGAATTCGGCAAGGACAAGTCCACCGGTGTGTATTTTTTAACCTCCCCCCCCCCACCCCCCTCTACAACCTGACAGAGAAAGGTGTTGATTAAGTGAAGTCAATCAAACTTTTGCTGCAACTCAAAAAACGAATTTCCAGCACCACGTACAACGTAACATTCAAACGACCCCATTGAGTTGAGGAAAAAGGAGTGAATTATTTAATTATGTCTACACAACAAGGAGGAAGAGAAGGCAAAAAAATACATATTTTTTTGCAGTACTTTCTGCCATTATGAAATTTCATTAGTTGTTTAATTAATTCTTTGCTTCCGACATAACATAACATTTGCGTGCCGAACGTCTATTTTTCATTTTGCCAACAATCTAAATATATATTCACTTGTATACACATTTTTTCTCTGTGTAAATCAAGATCAACAGCTAAGAAAAAACTTTTTTATTATTTCGAGAGAGAAGAAAACTTTCTTTTTGGTTGAGGCAAAAAGGATTGCTATTTTATCATTTCTGTTACTCTTCTTGCTTTTTATTGCGGCTCTTACAGCATCATTATTCTTTATTTTTATTTTTATATTGCGGTTTGAAGAGAAGCACAAAGAAGGAAAATTTCTTAAAAGTCATTTTTGTTTTTTTTTATTTTTATTTTCTTTTCATTCCCCCGTTCAGAAGTTTCAGTGGCCCTTTTTCTCAGAATTATTAAATTTTTGTGTGTGCAAGTTGTCCGACGGTTTTGGTGCTTCTTGTTACTTGAATAAGTAATTTCAATTGCGGGAAGGGAAATTAATCATGCTTAAGGGGAAATTTATGAATATAAGATCCTATAAATCGTGGTGTAATGAACAGGAAAGTTTTTTGATTGCTAACTAGCGTTTGGGCACTCAATTAGGATAGCTTAATGTGGATTATTTTGAAGGGGGAGTGTTCATAAATGATGTCATTCTGTGTTTTGTCTAAGGATCTAATTCTTTATGTAGGATTCGTAGAAATTACAATGTTTTATTGATTTTTGTGATGGGGATTGACTTTTGGTCTATGGTGAGGGATGTAGCTTCTAATTCCCATCATCCTTCAGTGACCTGTTTACTTAAACTTACTGCAAATATTCCTAAACTGAAGAGCGTGTTTATCAATGAAATTCGGGTCAAAGGTTTGATGGGATTCGAACCTAAAGCTTCAGATATCATTGCAACTCCGACTAACAGTTACGCTCATCTACAGTAAACACGCTTCTTCAGTGAGACTTACAATTCACAATATTATGAATAATCAACATAGATATTGATATTTTTCTATTACCTTAACTGAAAATGAAGCTATTGCCTTAAGCTAATAGGTCTATCATTAAAAAACTGTCCTGCGAATAAAATAAAGTTTTACTTTTTGGAATTTGAAAAATTATTTTTTTTTTGAAAATTCTTTTTCTTTTTTTTTAAAATTCTTTTCCTTTTTTATTTGATGAAATTTTTATGAATAAAGGAATTTTTCAAGTTGGATTTCATTTCAAATATTTTTTAATTTTTTAAAAATTTTCTGTTGGTTTAAATTTTTTGAGGCAACAAAATCAAAGTTTTATAAAATGATGCAATTTAGGGATTAATGAGGGAAAGAGTTTATTAATTTAATACCAACAAATCCAAATTTTTTTGTAAATTTTTGATTTAAAAAACATTAAATTCGTAAACTCCCCCAAACCCAACATAGTCAAAACACAGCTTACCCTCAAATTTTTTCGCAATATTGAAAAAAATTTGCCAACAAAAATAAAATGTAAAAACAGCATTTATCGTAAATTTTCACAAAATCAGTTTTGAAATTTTCTTCACGCGCATCAACAAAAAAAAACTCTCAAAGGTCGTAAATCGATTTTCTTTTTTTCATCACCATTGAACTTGATACGTCTCAGTCGTCAACGTTACTCTTTTATGTTCTTATCTTAAAAAATTGTTTTTTTACTTTGACTTTTTACTTTGATTTTTCAAGGTTTTTTAAATTCCAAATCAACTTAAATTTTATGATTTGAGTTTTTTTGAAATTTTTGATTTTTTCAAAAATTCATTGCGAAATTATAGAATTTTTAAAAAACAAAAATAAGTGAATTCCTTTGAAGGTTTGGTCTCTAAACCTCCAAGATCATTCATGTGATCATTTCGAAAATTTCTGTATCTTTGTCGACCCTCAAAAAAGTTAAAAGCTATTCATACGATCCAAAAAGATTTACAAAATCCCTAAAATTCCAATATCCATCCAAAAACAAAGCACATCCCTTGAAAAACATCCAACATAAGAATCTAGAGTAGGCACACAGTAATATCTCTCAATCTATTCCCATAGAAATCATCATAACATTCACATTTCCATCTTACCTTTATGATAATTCATAAACTCTTTTTCACAGCATGGACGTTCATAGTATGCATTCCAAATGGTCTCATACAAGCCGTGCACTTGACGACTTAAAAGCAAATGAATGATTATCACGCTCGCAATCATTAAGTAAACTATATTTCTGTACATTTTTTTTATATATATATTTATATTATTTTTTTTATGATGTTTTGTATGAAGTATATTAATATTGACTCTCTCTTTACTGCCCTAACTATTTAGGCTATCTGTTGAGAGATGCAGTTCCTTTTATTTTTATTTTTTGTATATGTTGTCACTAGTTCACTAGTATTCAGCTCGTAAATTTATTATTTATTCATCACATCAAACAAATGACAGTCTTTTATACTATTCTACATTGACTATTTCTAAGTCATGAATAGACATTGAAAAATAATAATTTTTTCCTTTATCATCATCTTCTTCGTTTCGTGCTTGCTGTTGCTGTTTTATCTCTCATCCGAATATCACAACAATAATAAGGAAAAGAATAACAGTGCAGAATGTGAGCACATTTTTCTTCGATCATAAAGCAACGACAAGGAATGGCAATGGAAATTCACATTGAGCGAACATTTGTTGTTCATTGTTAGCAATTCAGCCGTGAGTTGTTAAAGCTTTAAGATGATGACGAGCTGAAGTAACAAAGAATTATATTGATTTTCCATAAATGGCATCTGGTTGGATATTGCAATTCTTTTTTTGACACACACAAAAAGAAATTCTTTTTTTTTCTTTTATAAATTCACATTTTTTTCACATATTTTTCTCTCACTTTGCCTTAGAGACCTTTTATGGCATTTTCACATTTTCCATTGAGATTTTTCTTTTACAATTTTTATTTTTTATCTGTTTCTGCACTTTTCTATTTACACTCAATTAAGCTGTGAATATTTTTATTTATTTTCATTTTTCACAGATTTTGTATTTTATTATTGATGTGTTTCGTATTGATTTGAAAATGATTTCGAGTCTTTTGATGAGCTTTGTGACTTTCTTGAATGGTTTCATGGATTATGAGGGAATTTTGGAACGGGACTGTTGATTTATTTTTGAGGATGAGGGGGATTGAATGTTTGACAATCTTTTATAAAATTATTGAGAGTTTTTTTTTGTAATTTTCAACTCAATTTCTTTGTGGTTAAGTTCTTTATTAGACAGCAATATTTCAAAATACAATTACAATAAAATTGATATTAAAAAAGTCAAATGTTAACCAGACTAAGTTCCTTTTAGCTCGAAATAAAATGTTAAGTTTTACGGAGGATTTTTGAATATTTTTAGTTCACAAACTTTCAGTCAGCAGAAATTTCCAAAACACTGTAAACTTTTGACATTGACTTTGATTGACTTTTCACAGCTTCAACAATTTTAATTTTTTTTAACTTCAATGTTGAATGTCTTTAGATGTCTATTTATTATTTTGAATAAGCTTTCCAGAGTTTTTCAGAATTTTCTTCATTTTAGTACAAATCATTCAAATGTTGCGCTGCGTTGTGTTTACTATTTTTTTTTCATAAACTTGATGGTACGATTCAGTTCCACACTGTAACATCCACACTGATTATTTTTATTTCTTAATATGATTGTCAGTTGTTCAATTACTTTTGTAGCATAAAGCAAAGTCTTTGACAATAATTCATCAATATTGTCTGATAAACCATTTTCAAGCGATTTCAAATTATTGAAAGTTTTTCAAGAAATATTGAAATGTTCTTATTATTGCTATTTAGTCTGTTTTATCAATTATTGACTACTTTCCATTAAGTTCTTTTAATTTGTAAGTTTGATTAAGATTCACTTGAATCTAATCAGTTTGAAACTGATTCTTAAAACTCTTTTAAGTCATTTTATGATAATTTCAATTTTTTAACATGTTCTTCAGAAATTTCCATAATATCACTAAGTTTAAGTCTTCAGTATTCAGCATTTCTTCACAAACTTGAACTAGCTTTTTAAATTTCACTTTATTTTTCAAGTGTTTAATGTTTTTTTAAATCAAATTTGACTTTAAAATATTTTTAATAAATCCTATTTAATGCTTTAGTCTCATCCACATTCCCAACAACTTCAGTGCTTTCACAAAATTAAAATTCTTGATTTACAAAAATTTATCTTATAAAAAAATCACACCGAGAAAAAACACACAGAATTGGATGAAAAAAAAATAATATTTTCCTTGAATAACAAATTTTATTATTTTCTTGACGACGAGATTTAAGAAATTTGCGTCTATTCGCGATGATGTTTAGATGGAAACTGAAGGTAAACTGTTTTTTGTTCGACTGGAAATATATCAGACATAATATACGTTTGCGCAGAAACGCGACGATCTAGTACGAAAAATAAAAGTGTAGAAACAAAACATAAGCAGCAGCAAGCAGCATAGAGGGACGATTGAAGGAGGAAGAAGAGAAAAAAAAATGTAAGTAAATATCGTGTGGCATAAGGACATTCGTTTTGTTGTTTACGCGATGAAAATTGTATGTAAATGAATGAGTGAATGATGATGGTTATATGCAAACTATGTCTGGCAACCCTGTCTATGTATTTGTATCCCTGCATTATTTTTTATTCGGTATGCAATAATCGAGAACAAATTGATTCGAAATAAATTTTCTGTAAATGCATTTATGACATTTTCGGTTTATGATAATCATTTATTTAGTATGTGTAGCTATAAGGAAGCTGGTGGGTCCAGACATCAACCTTGAATTATTTTCAAAGCTCAACTTCAATGCAGAATCATTTAAAATTGATATTAAAGGAAGATTCAGTTGCAAAAAAATTCAGCCCCCAAAAAATCGAGCCTGGAGTGAGTGTAAAGTGCACGGTAAAGAATAAAATTCTTTAAGAGAAATTAATGGAATGGAAAATTTATCGTCGATGTGAAAATAAAAAAAAAAACTTTTTTTTTCCTTTTCCTCGCACAAATATTTGATTTTGAAAATGAATTTTTTTCCTTGCGTTTGAATTCCTTTTCGAATTCTTTTTTCCCGTCTTTTGAGCCGAAATAAGAGAAGCACTGCAACAAACTTTTATGTGAATGAAGGAGAAGAAAAGAGAAATTGAATTGGAAAAAAAATCGCAAGAAAAGAGAAGAAAATTGAACAAATATTGATTGAGTTTCTTAAAAAGCATTTTATATTTCTTTTTTTCCTTTTTTTTCGTTCTCTTTATCCTTATTTAATTTTTTAGCTACGCATAATATAGGCGCTGAGATTTTTTTTTGTGCCTTTACATTTTCCTTTCGAATGTTTGAACATCATGATGTAGTCATATAATTTTTATTATTCGTGTTTTGTGCTGGGAGGAGTTGTCTTATTACTGTAAATAAGTTGATAAGTTGGAAGATGTGGATAAGATGAAAAGCAAATGGAATCGAAATGTCCCTACTGGCCGTATGGATCAATTATGATCCATGGCCTGAAACTGGCTCTATCGCTGGGTACCGTTTGCCAATTACCCATACCTCATGTAATACTATCTCTGTCAACATTTTCATTCCCAATAAAGCTTACAGAAAATCAAAGAATTCATAAAAAGACGCTGTTCACAAAGTCAGTTACTTTTGGAAATCAACAAGAGGTACCCAGTGATTGAATTAGCTTCGTGCACTATATAAGAGATGCTTTGAATCACAATTGAGCTAAGAGGGGAAGAGGATCTAAAAAAGACCAATTTTGCATGCCGCATCAGTTAAAAGTAGGGTGACCATCTGCGTAGTTTTTCAACGGACAGTCCTGTATTTTTCAATACTGTCCTGTATAAATTTTTAAATTTTGTTCTTGGTCCTTTATTTTTTTCATGAAAATTTCCGTTAATTTTCGAGTTTTACTCTATGTCCTGTTTTTTTCGAAAAAATTTACCAAATGTCCTGTATTTTCATGAAAATTAGATGGTAACCCTAGTTAAAAGACCCCAAAATTGTTAATAGTTTTTCTTCAAAAACAAGCAATTTTTCCACAAAAATTGACCAACATGCATCTCCTAGTAAATTATTTCTATACATTTGATTTTAATATATTTTTTTATTCATCTTCTTTCAAACAGAATTTAACTTTCATTTTATCTCGTACAAAGCTCGACTGACTGATGCCAATGGTCATACAACATGTGAGTCAAGATAATGTAGGCTCGAAAGTTCAATGAAGTGAAAATTTTGCATACTCAAATATTCTTCTCTACTTGCTGCTTTTTTTACATTTATTGTAATAAATCATTCGACCATACAGAATACTTTTATTATTTTGTGAGAATATTCCCCCAACCACCATTGACTGTATTTATTGTTAAAACGTATCTTTCTTCCTTCCTGACAATCCTTTTGTCTTGTAAAACTCATGTTTTTAAAAAATTCATGCACGGCTTCAGTTTATGCATAATTAATAATATGATGATGTAAATGAACGAACGGTCAGCGAGTATTATGCACATTATGAAGAGTTCTATGTCAACAAAATTCTACTTCCATTCAAAGAGCTTACAATCAGCACACAAAAGACTTAAACAGTTTTTTTTACTATATATTAAAAATTGTGTGTATACGACGTGTATGAAAGATTTTTTTTTTTTCATTTCTTTCTTTCTGCATCCTTTTTTAGATCCCTTTTCAAAAAAGTATCAATAGCAAAGGAATAATAATGAGACTAATAATGTTAAACAAAAGAGTGGACATTGTATGCCTTTGAATGATGTTTCATCCTTCTCGTTCCTTACCGTCTCTAGAGTATCAAGTCATTTAAAATATTAAAAACATTACACGGTGCAACAGAACATGAACGAGTATGAAAATGTTGAAAAGGGAACGATTATGACGGTGATATGCTGTTGTGGTTTTATGAACTTCTGCGTTGATAGCTGGATATAAATTAGACTGTCTAATGCTTGATTATGACTAGCCTAGGCACCCCAGAAAATTTAAGAATCAAGCATCTTATGAATGTTAAGTCTTTCGATCTTTTGCCCAACCAATAGTCCAAATAAGTCTTAATTTTGGTCCAACAGATACATCCTTATATGACTTGACATACCACATTCCAAACTGAAGATCTCCCTATAACTGCCATATGTATAAACTTATTTAAAGAAGTCGGGTTTGATAGGAATCAAACCATCGACCTCAAAAGAGGCGATCTCTGACCATTCGATCAGAGATCCCTGTCACTCGGCCAGAAAGGTCCTTATTTCACTTCGGCTATCCATCATGCACATATAACCAGGTTCAATGCGAACCATATGCTTAGGCCTATCTACTACAGATATGCTCTTCGAGCCAAACAAAACTTCAACGACACCAGCGCATGGAAGTCCAAAAAAAATTATTGCGTCCACAGACTTATTGCAACTGAACAGCAGCAGAGAGAAAGGAATCAAAAAGGACGGATAGAAGAAGAAGAAAAAAACTTCAGCACAAGCTGAAAGCATTAAAGGAGTAATTTACTTTGATATATTATTGCATTGTGCAGAAGCTCTCTCGGCATTCTGTCATCTCTCTTTATTACTCTCGTCATCATGTAAACATTGACCATGAACAACTTTACAATTTTTCATATTCTTAAATACACAAAAAAAATATTATATTGTAATAATGGAAGAATAGTAGAAAGGACGCTGGAGAGGTATTTTAATGCTGCACATTTTTAAAAAATGCTTTATGAATGCGAATAAGAATTTAAATGCACATAGACGTCTGCAATCGAAATGTACATACTTCAAACAATTTTTTTTCCTTTCCATTTCAATGCCATTTAAGGATATTTGAATTGGAATGAATGAGAAAGATTTTTTTTTTGAGGAATTAAAATTGGTTGGCTCTGCTATGTGGCTTGGGAATTACATCGATTGAAGAATTTTTCATTTAAGTTGTCATGCGGCTTGCAATTTTTTTGTTCTTTTTATGTGCATTTTGTGCATTATAGTTGTGCTGGATTTTTGTTGTGATTTGAAAGAGCTTTAAAGATGCATTAAGTTTAATTTAACATAGGGCCTGCTGTATGTTCAGTACTATATATCAAGCTAAGTCTGTAGATATCTTAAATATCACAAGTCGGGTAATCAAAAAAAAATAATAATAATCCGGCACTACTCTGACATGGTACTGGCTTCGATTTAAATTCAGCACGAATCAAGAGTCACACTGGCTTGGTGCTGGATTTCTGATCGATCAAGTGACGTGTGTCGGGTTACTTCCTCAGTGAATCTTTAGAAAGCAGTCATCAACCATTATCACATTGACAGTAGTTGTTAATTATGTCTGTATTGCATCAGATGTGAGCTTAAAGAAATAATGACTGCCATTACTATACGCAAAGGCACGAAGGTGATTATCACTAGCGTTTAGTCGATGAAGCCCAAATTTGATTTCTAAATCAAGCACTTTGTTGAATCCTTGACTGACAATTTGCTTACATTGATAAACTGAATGAAGAACAGTTTATCAATGTAAGGTCGGTAATTTTTTATGTCCAGCAAATATTGAGAGCTTTTAAAGCCTCAAACCCATTTGAATTGTGGACGTGATTAGTAATTGAGAATTAAGGGTATTCATAAACCTCTGAAAATTTCAAAAACTCCAGCCTCAAAAAAAAATTTCAGACTCTCAAAATCAATACTTTACTTTCCAAAAGGCATTAAAAGTCGTCCTAAACTCCTTGAGAAACTTCAAAAAGATATATTCAAATGAGCGTCTCAAAAAGTACAAAATTATATCCTCTATTTAACACGATAAGCTTCCGAATCACTTAGTAAATTGAAATCATATCCAAACCTGAAAGAAGTAATTGCTGAAAATTATTTTTCATGATAGCTGTTTATAGGAATTGCATCTCATTAAAAAATCATTCATTTTTTTCCATCCATTACATCTTCACTGAGGAGAGAATAAAGACTACATAAGTAAGTGTAGAAGAGTGCAGTGTAATAATTACAGAACAGCTTACAGAACAATGAACATAAAAAAAAAGTATCATCGCCTAAAACAATAGAAGACAATTCCAATCACTCACATCTCACATATGAAATTCATCTTCTCTCATCTTAATGGCATCACACATTGTCAAGTGTATTTTTGACAGTTTATTGCAGTACATGCATTAAGATTTTTTTTTATATAAGCATATGCAATTCTCATTCCTCACAACATCTTAACTCCTATATTTTTTTTGTATGCTTCATCATAATATCATCAAGTCTCATATATACATATTTTTTAATCATCTCATTTTTTGCTT